TTTTGCAAAAAGTGAAGACGTGTATTGGAAATTTTTTTTCACTTTTTGACAATTGTGTAAAATGACTTACAAGTTTTAATTATGACCTTATATATTGAACTCCCTTTGCTGCCACTCACTTCCTATAGTTTTATCTTTTTAAATGTATGCCCTCTTTTCTGGTACTCTATGTTTAAAAAAAAAAGTCTAGTTACTGATTTTGTTTTAGAATTAAATGTGACTTTAGTATCACATGTATTATTCTAGGTTTTAAGAGTAAGTATTTTAAATAGCAACATAAAGACTTAAGAATCTAAAGGATAGTGTTTGAAAACTTCAGAGTATGAGTAGTTATAATGCAGCATTTTTAATTTGAGAGTTATTCAAGAAAGAAGCAAAATTCAGAAACAGCACTTCATGGTATTAGATATGTTTATACATATAGGTAAATCCTGCATAATAATGTAGTTCTTAATTTCTCTGGTTATAAAGTTACTGCACTGGTAGATCAAAGAATGAATTTTTTAAAAAGTTACCTCAAGTTAAAGCTAATATCCTAAACAAGGTACCTATCAGGCGTATTAAAGCAGATTTGTGTCATGGAGCGACAAGTCCTCTCTATATGTCTAAATTCATGCCAAATGAAGAGAAGCTATAGTCTAATAAATATGAGAGATTCTGTGTATGTATGTGCAGTAGGAGATTGGGAGGGTGTCAAAAAGCATCAGTAACATGTGATACCAGCCTTAATTTAGGGAAGTACAATTACTGTTATTTAAAATAGGCCTGTAATTTGAAGTTGTAATGTCCAATTAGAAAGTATCAATGTATTGTTTATATCATGGTTGTAACATCTTTTGGACAGTTTCAGAAATAACTTGTAAAACATTGTGTTTATATCTTTTTATATTTTCCCTTTGTTACTAAGGGTGCTTGCATTAAAAAGTCTTATGAGCACAGTAGTCTTATTGCTTAGTTATAGGCATACTTCTTTACACATCAGCTATGGTATGAGTGTTTTGGCCTCAGACAGGAAATAGGCATGAAAAAATGAAATTTTAAGAAATAAAAATTTAGTTTTTGTGTAAATGTTATGGATAAAATATGAAAAGCTGTTTTTTAAAAATTTCTCTTTTTTTCCTATCAGGTGTCAATCAAGACATTAAAGTTTTGAACTATTTAGGTCTTAAAGGGTTATTCAGTATTTAAAACTGGTACTCTGTTCCCAAGACTATTATTATTCTTAGAACACAAGTAGAAACTTACTGGAAATAAGACTCACTGGATGAAAACCTTTCTCCTAAGTAGATTTAAATATAAGCATTGCAGGCCAAGTGTGGTGGCTCATTCCTGTAAACCCAGAACTTTGGGAGGCCAAGGCAGGTGGATCAGCTGAGGTCAGGAGTTTGAGACCAGTCTGACTAACATGGTGAAACCCCATCTCTATGAAAATACAAAAATTAGCTGGGTGTGATGGCAGGCGCCTGTAATCCCAGCTACTGAGGAGGCTGAGGCAAGAGAATTGGTTGAACCTGGGAGGCAAAAGTTGCAGTGTACCAAGACCACGCCACTACACTCTTAGCCTGGGCGACAGAGAGAGACTCTGTCTCTAAATAAATAAATAAATAAATAAATAAAAGCTTTGCAAAAATACATTAACAATTTTTTATAAAACTGAGAGTTTCTTGGAATCAGTTTTGGTGATTATGTTTTAACACTCAGAGGCTATACAAGTTGTTGATTTTATACATCCTATTGTTTTGAAACTATTTATCTGAGGCCAGAGTACGAGGTTATGAGAAGTTTTTAAAAAAAATCTTAAGATTGAATAATTTTAATTCACTTTAAAAAGAGAAATATATATATCTATTTTAGGGGGTTAAGATATTGTGAAAGATGTAGTTGTGATGCTCAAAAGGTGAAGACTCATAATTCTAATTCAGAACACTGTTTTTTGTGAACATAGTGACTTAAAAATTGATACATAATAGTTGTGCATATTTATGGGGTACATGTGATATTTTGATACTTACATGCAATGTGTTATTCCAAATCTTCTAGCTATTTTGAAATATATAAGTTATTGTTAATTATAGTTACCTTTCTGTGAATAATGACTTTAACTTTCTAAAAATGTTAGTTGAAGTTGGGAAAAATTTTAAACCATATATCTTTACTCCCCCATATTTGCTAAGAGTAGATTATGTTTAGTGTGGCTTTATTTTTTATTTATTTTTTAAAATATCTCCACAAGTGGAATTTTATTGATGGCTCTAGCTTATTCCCTCCCAAAAGATTACTGCAAACAAATGAAGATTTTGTTTTTATGATAAAAGAAAATACGACACTTAGAACTGGACCACCTCGCCCTTTCTCTTCTTATCTACTCCCAGTTCAAAATACTTGCATCTTTTAATAACCAGCATTCTCTTAGATCTGCAGTTGGGCTCAATGCACTCAAGCCTTAACACAATCTTCTTTGTAGTTTTAGCCTTTTTCTGGAAAATTGGCTTAGTCTGCCCACCATAGCCACTCTGCTTCCTGTCATAAAACTGCTTTCCCTGGGCTTTCAGAGAATCCTTGCCCTTCTTGTACTGTGTTACTTTTGTGGGATTGGCATTTGTCACACTTCTTTTTTTTTTGAGTTGGAGTTTCGCTCTTGTTACTCAGGCTGGAGTGCAATGGCACGATCTCCGCTCACTGCAGTCTCCGCCTCCTGGGTTCAAGCAATTCTCCTGCCTCAGCCTCCTGAGTAGCTGGCACTACAGGCGCACGCCACCATGCCCAGCTAATTTTTGTATTTTTAGTAGAGATGGGGTTTCACCATGTTGACCAGGATGGTCTCGATCTCTTGACCTTGTGATCCACCCGCCTTGGCCTCCCAAAGTGCTGGGATTATAGGCGTGAGCCACTGCACCCAGCATCACACTTCTTACAGAAAGTCCAGCAAGTTCTAGGAATGTTCACCGTGTTTGCATGAGCACTATTGGCAGGGAAAGCTGTTTTTTATATTTTTTAAGTTTGTTTATTTGTTTGTTTTTGAGAGAGTCTCGCTTTGTTGCCCAGACTGGAGTGCAGTGGGGTGATCTTGCCTTACGGCAACCTCTGCATCCCGAGTTCAAGCGATTCTCCTGCCTCAGCCTCCCAAGTAGCTGGAATTACAGGTGCCCGCCACCACGCCCAGCTAATTCTGTATTTTTAGTAGAGACAGGGTTTCACCATGTTGGCCGGGCTGGTGTCAAACTCCTCAACTCAGGTGATCTGCCCTTTTCAGCCTCCCAAAGTGCTGGGATTACAGGCATGAGCCACCGCGTCCAGCCTCCAAATACAATGTTTATACTTTATATTGTATAAAGTATAAAAAAACTATATGTTTTTATTTATTTATTTTTTTTTTGAGACAGGGTCTCACTCTGTTGCCCAGGCTGGAGTACAGTAGCACAATTTCCGCTCATTGCTGCCTTGATTTCCTGATCTTAAGCCATCCTTCCAGCTCAGCCTCCCAATTAGCTGGGACTAAAGGCACGTGCCACTGCACCCAGCTAATTTTTTTGTTTACTTTTTTTTCAAGACAAAGTCTCACTGTGTTGCCCAGGCTGGTCTCAGACTCCTAGGCCCAAGCTATCTACCCACCTCAGCCTCTCAAAGTGCTGGGATTACAGGCATGAGCCACTGTGCCAAGCCTTTTACTTTTTATCTCTGTTATTGGCATATACTTTTTTTGGATCTTTATTCTGAGTCTAACAGTTCAACTGTAAAATATTTATAGACACTTAAGGAAATTTGACCACTGATTTGATGTTAAGTATTATTGATTGTGATAATGCTATTGAGAATGTGTGTTTTTTTTTTTTTTAAGTTCTTATTGCTTAGAAATTCACACTGAAATGTCCATGAATGAAATGAAAAGATGTTTAACATTTTTCAAACTAATCAGGAGGAGAGTTAGGATGTAGTTGGGGGTTAAAGATGAGGTGGGAGTGGCCATGAGTTGATGATTATTGTAGCTGGAGGTGGTGGATACATAGGATTCACTGTATTATTACATTTTTTTTGTTTGAAATTTTTCTTGTTAAAACCTTTTTAAGTCCTTATTTGTTACTCCTTAAATTGGACATCTTCAAAGATAAAAAGAGTCTTTGGCCACTAGAAGAGGGAAACAGGCTTTCTTTGGATCTTACAGATACTTTAATTTGCATACTTTCTTCTGTAAAACACTTATTTTTTAAAGCGTAAGTCAACATTTTATAATCTTAGTGTTAGGGACATAATTTCTGGTACCTTAACAAGTAGGCTAAGCCTAGATTTGCCTTTAATAATCGATGGTAGATCTCAGAAATGCAAATGAAAGGACTATCCTAAAATTGTTTTATGAACTGTTTTAAAAGAGTTTTCTTAAAATTGCCTACGATGTGGATTTTTAATTAAAATCTTGGTTTAATTTTTTTTCAGATGGATTTAATGCCTTTTATTAACAAAGCTGGTTGTGAATGTCTTAATGAAAGTGATGAGCATGGATTTGACAACTGTTTACGAAAAGACACGACCTTCTTAGAATCTGACTGTGATGAACAGGTAATTGAGGGCTGAAGTTAAGGCTTGTGGAGATTATCAGTATTTATGCCTGCTCTTGTTTCTTTACCTCGTTCCCATCTTGTGGGTTATGTCTCCTTCCCAGATGATCCCTTCTTACTTTCATTTCTATAGCTTTTAGTTTCTTTGACTTTTGTCTTTTGACCACACGGACCCACCTTCTTTTCTCTGTTCTTGTACCTGGGCTGCCAGGTGCATTAAGGAAAATCGCTGAACTCTTGGATGGGACCCACTGCAGAACTGAGCTGTTAGCAGTGTTTGGTCCTTTTGTTCATCTTTGACCTGTCTTCCATACTTTCTTCCCACCCAGATGAATTTGTATCTGAGAAATAGAGACTAATGGGATGTGTACTTCCTAGATATAAACCTCTGTTGTATTCTTTGTTTCCCTGCCTTGCCTTCATCACAGAGTAAGTGGGGTGTTACCACCTTGATCAAGCTTTTACAATATTTGTTGTAGCTGTTATTTTTCTCAATTTACTTTCTCTTCCATTGTGTCTGGTTTGTCCCATTCTAGTTCATCTTCTATGTGGTAACAAAAGTTATTTTTCTAAAGTATAAATCTGCATCTTTTTCTTCCTAAGAAGAGTGAAATGACTCTTCACCGGCTTTAGGAAGAGGCTGGCTTGATCTGTTTTTAGCTTTCTAGTCTCTTCTGCTCTTCACCTACAGTTCAGTTTCCTAAATATGCCATGCTTATTTTTTAATATACTATTATGGGTCAAGTATAAAAAGTATTGGTGTAACTAAAGGAAATAGCCTTGTAATTTTCTTAGGCAGATAAACCACAATCAGAAATCCAAACCCCATCTTTCTGTGCTTTTACCCCAGAGCCACCTTATTTTACAGCTTTGAGAGTATCATTCACATTGTGTTCCTTATAAAGGATGCCCTAAAAATAATGTGATAATGCTTATCAGCAGGACTGGCTCAGGCTTCGTGAAATTTTCCTGCCCAGGAAATCTTGTTTCCAGGATAGAAGCATAGGTATTTATACCAAACACACTTTTGGCTGGAAAGAAGATGGAGCAAATGATCCAGAAGAGTATCTGAGAGATAAGCATTCTGATAGTGTTTCGTATTCCTGTTCCCTTATGTGGCCTTCCAGATTCAGTCAGTCAAGTAAATGTAGGATGGAAGTTTGGGGGTTACTTCAGAGCTGTAAGAGCCCTGTTCTCTTGGGTTTGGGAACAGGGTCCATTTCACAGCTAGTCTCTGCATAACCTATGTATTGCCTCTAAATTGTCAAGTAATGTGGATAGACACTTGTCAAACCATGCTAGAGCTGTATGCTAAAATATATAGTTTATTTTAATTTGCGATTTTTGTTTGATTTGTTAGAAAGCAGGTTGCTTGCCAGTTTATAGCTCACAAGACCTTAGATTTCTATGCATAGTTTAGTATTTACTTGATTAATTTTTTGTTATTCCCTTATATAAATAATTGATGGTGGTGCTTCTCAAATTATCTAATCAAGTTACTTTCAACTTGCTGATTTTTCATATTACATTGGTTTTGTTCAATGAATTAGCTTAGTTTTTTTTTTTTGGCCTATTAACTCTACTTCAGTAGTTTGTGTACTCAGTGTGTTCAAGAGCCCTTTTAAAATGAAACTCTTTTCTCCACAGCTGCTTATTACTGTGGCATTCAATCAACCTGTTAAGCTTTATTCCATGAAATTTCAAGGACCAGATAATGGTGAGTAAAGCATAGTGTTTCTTTAAACTAACTTCCTGCTTTGTAGAACTGTTAGCATAAGATTAAAACTTTTTATTAAATTAAGGTAGAGGTAGTTTGTTGTTGTTGTTGTTGTTGTTGTTGTTGTTGTTTTGAGACGGAGTCTTGCTCTGTCACCCAGGCTGGAGTATAGTGGTGCAATCTTAGCTCACTGTAATCTCTGCCTCCTGGGTTCAAGTGATTCTCCCACCTCAGCCTCCTGAGTAGCTGGGACTACAGACATGCACTGCCATGCTTGGCTAATTTTTATACATTTAGTACAGGATTTTACCATCTGTTGGCCAGGCTGGTCTTGAACACCTGACTTCAAGTGGTCTACTCGCCTTGGCCTTCCAAAGTGCTAAGATTACAGGTGTGAGCACTGTGCCCAGGTTGTTTTGGAACAAAGCAAAATATAAATGAATGGGTAAATAATGTGAGATTGTTAGGTACTGAAAGTATGAAAGAAAGGAAACTTATTTTTATGCTTTTTTATTTTAAAATTTGTTTCCTTTTAATCTGAGAAGTGCTGAATCCTTTTTTCAAACTGTTCTAAAACTGTAGGTTCTGAGCAGCCATATTTTGGAATCAAAGCTGGGAAAAATTTATTTCAAACCCCTTTTATTTTAAGTGAGAAAACTGAGGCTCCAGACATTCCTTTTTGTGCCCTATTAATAGTATCATCTTTTTTATGTCGATGCATGTAAATATGATTACACAGACCTAGAATTTCTCTTCTTCTAAAATAAGGAATTTTCCTTATTTACTCCCCTCATTTTTTCTGTTTCTGTTAAGCTTTTTCTGAGGGGGGAATAGGGGAATGGAGACTAGGGTTCTGTTTTTTGTTTTGTTGTGTTTTTGTTTTGTTTTGTTTTGCTTTGCTTTTTTTTTTTTTTTNTTTTTTTTTTTTTTAATTGATTGGAAGAAATAGCCAAGGCCCTATTTAGAAGATAGCATTTTCTTATTTGTTATGCTAAATTTTTATGTTAATTTGACTTTCACTCTGAAATTACAAAGTATTTGTATAAGCAAATGCTGTGGAAATGAGTTTTACTTTTCCTTCATCAGCCACAAAATGTGGGTCTTAAATTGTGCTTTGAGGCTGGGTTTGGTGACTTATTCCTGTAATCCCAGCACTTTGGGAGGCTGAGGTGGGTCAATCACCGGAGGTCAGGAGTTTGAGACCAGCCTGACCAACATCATAAAACCCTGTCTCTACTAAAAATACAAAAAATTTGTGGAGTGTGATGGTGCAGGCCTGTAATCCCAGCTACTCTGGAGGCTAGGGCAGGAGAATTGCTTGAACCTGGGAGGCAGAGGTTGCAGTGAACCAAGATCACACCATTGTACTCCAGCTTGGGCAACAGGAGCAAGACTCCATCTCCAAAAAAAAAAAAAAAAATGTGCCTTGAAGTTAAAGGGATTAAGACATTCTATATATGGGGCTTTACCACTTAGCACATCCTAATGTAATCCCTAATGAAATTTGGCAGTTTGTATTATTGATTTTTTTTTTTTTTTTTTGGCTAAATGTTGTCACTGATAACACTTTTCTCCTAAATAACTATATGTACCAACTATTGGCAACTATAAGATTTAGCTCAAGTGCTATTTCTTTTATGAAGCTTTTTGTTAACCCGCATATGTAGTCAGAATCCATTGTCACCTTCCTTGAACCTCCTCTCCTTTGGTACTTTATCATAGTATGTCTTTTGTAGTTGGGGGCAGGGATTTGCTGTGTGTGTGTGGTGTGTGTGTGTGTGTGTGGGGTGGGGGCGTGTTTTATATTCCTAACATTTAGCATTGTGTTAGCTCGGCCAAGAAAGTACCAGTAAATGTGTATTGGAAAATAAAGGATTGGCTGCCTAGATACCCAGACTTTTATACAAGTTCTAATAATAGATTTCTTTGAAGTATATGTATATTGATTTGTGTGTGTCTTTGTGCCTAATATGAGTGTAGTGGTAAAGGGAGTATAGTATGTTTGAGGTTTTTAAACATTTCATTTTGTTCTACTATTTTATAGGTCAGGGTCCTAAATATGTAAAAATTTTTATCAACCTACCCCGATCTATGGATTTTGAAGAGGCAGAAAGAAGTGAACCAACTCAAGCTCTGGAACTGACAGAGGATGATATTAAAGAAGATGGCATTGTTCCACTTCGTTATGTTAAGTTTCAGAATGTTAACAGTGTAACTGTAAGCAGTATTTCATTCATGTGTATTTAATAGGTTTGTAGGTAACAATACTATTTTCAGTATCCTAGGTGAGTCTAAGTGATTCTTATAAAGTGGTATTTGTCCACTCAGTTTGAAATAAGTAAAAATGTACAATGGGATAGTTAAATTTTCTTCTTTTTAATTTATGTACCCTAAAGAGGAAGGACGGATTGATTTTTGAATATTTGTGGGTTTTTGTTAGTTGTTTTATATGTATATTAAACATACACATATAGTACTGGGTTTATACGCTTTAGCCACTACACTCAGCCTTTCTGAAGATTGACTAGTGCTTTTGCTCGAAGTTTATTCTACAACGTTATACTTAAAGATACTTGTGCTTTATTCTTTATACCTGGTAATAAGTAGTGATATGTTTATAAAATCCTATTTGCTTCTTGAATATGGAGTTTTAAAGTGTGGTGGTTATGATCTTAGTAAAAATGACTTTTTATTTATTTATTTTTGAGATGGAGCCTCTCTTTGTTGCCCAGGGTGACTTGAACTCTGGTGCTCAAATAATCCTCCCACCTCAGTCTCCTGAGTTGCTAGGATTATAGGCATGCACCACTGTACCTGGCTTAAAAATGACCTTTTAAAAAGATAACATTGCATTTTATAAGATGACCTAAGGTATCTGAATTTTTTTTTTCCTTTGAGGGAGGTTCTTGGTTCTTGCTTTGTTGCCCAGCCTGGAGTACAGTGGCACAATCTTGGTTCAGTATAGCCCTCACCTATGGGGTTCAGGTGATCTTCCCTCAGCCTCCTGAGCAGCTGCAACCACAGGCATGAGCCACTACACCCAGCTAATTTTTTACTTTTGTACAGACAAAGTCTCCCTGTGTGGCCCAGGCTAGTCTCAAACTTCTGGGCTCAAGCAGTCCTCCTGCCTCAGCCTCCCAAAGTGCTGGGTTTATAGGCTTCAGCCACTGCACCCAGCCTTTCTGAAGATTGACTACTAGTGCTTAAGATTATTTTAAGTGATATAGTTTAGATATTATTATAAAAATGCCACTCATGAGAATCAGCTACTTTTTAGTGGTTATTAATTGCTTTTAAAAAAATTTAGCATTGAAACCTAGCACATACTTCTCACCTACAGTCATTTAGAGGAATGGGTAGGACAGTTAGAAAAGAATAGCAGAATACTTAGAAAAAGAAAGTAGGAACCAGTGCAGAGCCACTGAGAATGTCATGCCAAACTGATACAATGTGTTTGTTGTGATGGAATAATTTTATTTTTGTAAATTAGAAGAATGCTAAAGTATGTGTTCATTTTAGAATATTTTTGAGAGTTTCACAGAATCTATGTAGTAATATGAAGAATTATAATTGTCTGGGTGTGGTGGCTCACACCTGTAATCCCAGCATTTTGGGAAGCCAAGGGGGCAGATTGCTTGAGCCCACAATTTTGAGACTAGCCTGGGCAACAGGTGAAACCGCATCTACAAAAAAATACAAAAACTAGCTGGGCTTGGTGGTGTGCCTATAGTCCCAGCTACTGTGGAGGATCACTTGAGCCTGGGAGATTGAGGTTCAATGAGCTGTAATTGTGTCATTATTCTCCAGCCTGGGTGACCAAAAAAAAAATAAATAATTTTAATCAAGTTGAGTTTTAAGTATTAGTAATATCCTACACAAATGAAATCAGAGAAAATGGTTATATTAAACTTAGAATACTGGTTATCAGATATTTTCTTGAAAGAATTTATGGTTGCCTATGAAAACAACAAAAGCTGATCAGTGAGTGCCATCTCAGAATGAAAAGAAGTATGTTGTTTAAATCAAGAAGCAATTTTTAGTGGGCATGGTAGTGCACCTGTAGTCCCAGTTACTTGGGAGGCTGAGGCAAGGGCTTCACTTGCACTAAAGAGTTCAAGACCAGTCTAGGTAACATAATGAGACCTTGTCTCAAAAAAGAGATAGGTGCAATATTTTAAAGTAGACAGCACCCAGAATATTGTGTTTTCAGAAATGGAGCAAATTTTAAAAATCCAATATGTGAAAAAGGATCAATGAGTAAAGCTTTTAGCCTTTAACATGCTGAGGGGAGTTTTTAAATAAAAAGTATAAAGAATTGAGCTTAAAAAAATAGGAGGTGCATAGTATTGTTTTAGGAGCTGATTCCCAATACTATTTTTTCTTTTAATATTCTAGGTAAGAGAATGGACACAGGAATATTAGAAAGAATATAACTCAGATTTTTCTCCGTGAAAAACTATGATTTTAATAAAATTTCCAATGATAGTCTGTCCCATTGTAATTGTAAATCTTAATGCTCTTTCAACATTCTCTGTATTTAATTGCTGGGTATGTGTCTCATGCCTGTAATCCCAGCACTTTGGAAGGCTGAGGCGGGTAGATTACTTGAGGTCAGGAGTTCAAAAACAGCCTGGCCAACATGGCAAAACCCTGTCTCTACTAAAAAACACAAAAATTAGCTTGGTGTGGTGGTGGGTGCCTGTCATCCCAGCTACTGGGGAAGCTGAGGCAAGAGAATTGCTTGAACCTGGGAGGCAGAGCTTGCAGTGAGTCGAGATTGTGCCACTGCACTCCAGCCTGGGTAACAGAGTGAGACAAAAAAAGAATTTAATTATGACTCTGCCTTACCATCACACTAAATTATCATGAACTTGTATATATGGGTGTCTTGCCATGACCTCTAGAGAAGGTGAGAATAGCAGGGCAATTAGTATAATGAATAGTCCTATAGGAGTACTAGCCTTAATGTTATATGATTTAGGGTTTTTTTTGTTTTTTTTTTTTTTAAAAAGTTTGAGTTTTGCTCTTGTTTCCCAGGCTGGAGTGCAGTGGCATTATCTCGGCTCATTGCAACCTGTGCCTCCCAGATTCAAGCGATTCTCCTGCCTCAGCATCCCAAGTAGCTGGGATTACAGGTGCCGCCACCACGCCTGGTTAATTTTTTATATTTTTAGTAGAGATGGGGTTTCGCCATGTTAGATAGGCAGGTCTCGAACTCCTGACCTCAGGTGATCCGCCTGCTAAAGCCTCTCAAAGTTCTGGGATTACAGGCATGAGCTACTGCATCCAGCCTAGATTAATTTTTACAAAAAATAGAGAATATTTTTATTAGTAATTTAAGGAAATTGATTAAACTTAAAGCATGTTTGTGAAGAAGGATTATAAGTATAAATGTAAACTTTTTTTTTGGTAGATATTTGTTCAGTCCAATCAAGGTGAAGAGGAAACAACAAGAATTTCATATTTTACTTTTATTGGTACTCCAGTCCAGGCAACAAACATGAATGACTTCAAACGAGTAAGTTTGCTTAAATGATACTTAGGGGTAGTAAAAATATAATTTTAATGGAATAATTTCATGTATCTCAACCTACACACTTTCTTTTAACCAAGTGATTCAAAATCATGTCATGAAATTTTACAAAGCTAAGCTAGGATAGAAAGTTCTCCTAATTATATTTTTGGATATCCAACTAAAAGGAATCTTTAATAAAAATGATGTCTTAACTGATAGGGTCTTTTAATGAATGACATCAACATAAGGGTAAAAATAATAGTTTGGTTATAGAAAGTGGTTAGTAATAATGGAAAAATGAAAGTTAAATCATTTGAAAGCAGTGGTGAGAATTAAGGAACTTTTTGTTGATAGTAAGATTCTGATTATTATGTCTGATGAAATTTTTTTTGTCTTTTTTTTTTTTTGGTCTGATGAAATTTTAAATTACTTGAATAATTTTATTTGAAAAAGAGTGAACTGAGTTTTAATATACTGACATATTAACTTTCCAAACCATGTTTGTATGCTGAAATAGCACATTTCATCAAATAATGGTAAATAGGCAAGTTTTCTCAAGTATTTTTATGTATCTTTATGTGTGTGCATATAATTTTTTTTTTAAAAGACATAAATATAAGAATTGTAAAGAATCTTTACCATTCTTTGTAAAGCACTTATGGGGTACATGGGACCTTTGTTAATCCAGACTAATTCCTTTTAAACATTACTGGAACAGCTTCTAATTGGTAACAGTTCCCTCGGGTTGCTCTCAAATATACAACCACATATCATCACAGTGCTACTTAGAGCTTTATCAGTACAGAGCCTCAGTTGCTACATATTCAGTTTAAATGTGGCAGTACAGAATACATAGGTATCCCACTGTCTCTAATGACTGCATCTGGCAGGCAGTCTAGAACTTGAGGAAGTGTTTCCCTAGGCCTGGCAATTCCTAGATGAAGAGGCTCCCAGCGGACCCCTGTTGTGGAATTGAAGATGCAGAACATCTTAAGCACTCTTATTCCTTTTGGTGATATCTACAGATCTGGCTTAATTCAATTATAGAAAAATGTATGAAGTTGCATAACAAGGGATGATCTTAGAAAATTGTATGCTCTTTTTGCCGGTTGAAAACCTGGACAATAGGTATTTTAACTGGTCTTTTTCCAGCGACTATTTTCCTGTCTCACAGCATGATTAACTTTTGGGGACTGCAGGAATAATTATCTTCTTAGAGCTGTTGTGTCTAGATGTTTCACATATGTTTAATGACAGGTCAGAAGAAGCAGAGATTAAACATCTACATTTTTACAATGTGAAATATGTTTTATTGGGAAAATGTGTGAGCAACAAAGATTTCTTGGCTGCCTGCTTTGCCTTTTGGAATTAGATGCCACTGGACTTGGCTTTAATTGTGCCTTGTGTAGTTTGTTCTGAGTTTAATCTTTTATAACATCTGTTATTATAAATCTTATTTTCTCATATCATAAATTTGGTTCTGCTTTCCTGTTTCTCACCTTAGTTTATGCTATTTGATTCTCATTTTTCTGTAAATAACCACCATTCTGTCTTGTTCATCTTCATACCAGCTAGCCATTCAGCTAAAGTTTCTCTAATTTGCATGAATAATTGTCCATCTAACTATCTGTCTCCACGTTTTTAACATTCTCCTCACATCCCTTCTAGCCTTGTATTTTCTCTTTTTTAACTGTCAGACTCCCTTTTTGGGGGCTGTCTTTGGGATAGCAAAGGTGTTAGACCTTTCTTGCCTGAGAGTATTTGTGCTTGTTTTATAACAGCCATTTATTCATTTAATTTTTTTTAACTTTAAATAACTATACAGTAGCAGTTCTCAAGCTTTTTGGTTTCAGGACCTCTTTATATTATTAAATACTATTGAAGGCCAAAAAGAACTTTTGTTTATCTGGGCTGTATTTATCTAATATTTGTCATTTAGAAGTTAAAACTGGTAAATAAAAAAATATATTTATTTGTAAATAATGAACATATTAACATAATATTTTTAAATTAAAAATAAGCATATTTTCTTTTCTTTTCTTTTTTTTTTCTTTTGAGATGGAGTCTCATTCTGTCACCAGGTTGGAGTGCAGTGGTACGGTCTCGGCTCACTGCGGCCTCTGCCTCCCAGGTTCAAGTGATTCTCCTGCCTCAGCCTCCTGAGTAGTTGGGACTGTAGGCACCTGCCACCACGCCCAACTCATTTTTGTATTTTTAGTAGAAACCGGGGTTTCACCATATTGGCCAGGCTGGTCTCAAACTGCTGACCTCAGATGATTCGCCCGCTTTGGCCTCCCAAAGTGCTGGGATTACAGGCATGAGCCACTGCACCCAGCCAAAAAATAAGCATATTTTCTAAAAGAAAAACCAATTTAGTAAGAATAAGAGCATTGATTTAGAATTTTTTTTTTTTTGGTGGGGAGACAGGGTCTTGTTCTGTCACCCATGCTGGAGTGCAGAGGCCCAGTTGTGGCTCACTTCAGCCTCAAACTCCTGGGCTCAGCTGATCCTCCCACCTCAGCCTCCTGAGTAGCTGGGACTACAGGCGTGTGCCACCAAACTTGGCTGTTTTATCTTTAAATTTATGTGGTGACAGGGTCTCACTGTGTTGCCCAGGCTTGTCTGTTTACGAGCCTAATAGAGTCCTTTCCTTCTCATATCTGCTTCTGCATTCAGTCAGCTTTCCTGTCACACATCATAGAGCCTCTGAAAAACTTCCCTGGATACTTGTGAAGCGAGTGAGAGTTTAAAAGGCAAAAAACAATTTAGCATTATGAAAAACAGTGTTGACCTCCCAGACCCCTTGAGAGGGTCTTGGAGACCACACACTTTGAGAATTGCTGCAAGAATCATTTGAATACCATAATTGACTCCCTTATTGGTGTTCTGGGCTTCTTAGCCCCGTGCTTTTAATGTTTAATAAATTTTAATTGATGCGGTGATTTTCTTATGTATATTACAGTTTCTTCTGATATTTCTGAATGGCATTTGTACTGTAGTCACTCATTGTTTTTTAGGGTTATTCTTTAAAAGTAAGCTAGTATTTCATTGTTTTTATATTGTACAAAGCAACAACTTCAATGTAATAAAAAATATATAGGGTTTATGTGTAACTGAAATTGGCCAGATTAGTCTTTGTACAGATAAGAGTTGCTTATTACAAATTATAATTGAGTTTGGTTCTTGTTGAAGGAAATATTAGATGTGTGGTATGGTATGTTTTGTCCCTATAGTACTAGTAAAATAATCTCTCCTTATCTGTGGCGGGGAAATATGTTCTTAGACCCCCCGCCCCCGACAGTGGATGCCTGGAACTAAGGACAGTAACAAACCCTATACACACTGTGTTTTTTCCTATGCAGACGTTTCCAACTTACGATGGTTCAAGTTTACAGTGGTGCAAAATTGATATGCATTCAGTAGAAACCATTCTCTTAAGTGTGGGTCAGTTACGCATTTTTGACTTCAAGTATTTTCAGCTTACAATGAGTTTACTTATTTCTTTAAGACTGAGTTTCACTCTTGCCACCCAGGCTCTAGTGCAGTGGTGTGATCTCTGCGTCCCAGGTTCAACCTCTGCACCCCGGGTTCAAGTGATTCTTCTGCCTCAGCCTCCTGAGTAGCAGACAGGTGCCTGCCACCATGGCCAGCTAATTTTTGTATTTTTAATAGGGATGGGGTTTCACTATGTTGGCTAGGCTGGTCTCCAACTCCTGACCTCAGGTGATCCGCCTGCCCCAGCCTCCCAAAGTGCTGGAATTACAGACATGAGCCACCACGCCAGGCCTTTACAGTGGGTTTAATCAGGATGTATTACCCCATCGGAAGTCAAGGAGCATCTCTTCATGTTTACCTCTGATAATGTTTAATGTATAAATTAGGTACAGTAAGAGATTAATAACAAGGCCAGAGAGCATGGTGGCTCATGCCTGTAATCCCACCACTTCAGGAGGCTAAGGCAGGAAGATCACTTAAGCCCAGGAGTTCAAGACCAGCCTAGTAAATATAGTAAGACTCCATCTCTATAAAAAAAAAAAAAAAAAAAAAAAAAAAAAAAAAAAAAAAAAAAAAAAAAAAAAAAAAAAAAAAAAAAAAGAGATTAACAACAACTAAAAATAAAATAGAGCAATTATAACAATATACTGTGGTAAAAGTTAACATGGATATGGTCTCTCCCATGCTTGCCCTTTCTCTCACTGTCTCAAAATACCTGACTGTACTGCACCATCAGCAATTGAAACTGCAGAAAGTGAAAGCATGGATAAGGAGGGACTACTGTACAGTCTACAGCAAGTTTCTATCTACAGCAAATTTATATTCTTGTAGGATAATGGACAAACATAGGGAAAGTTAATCAAAATTCTTCAAAGGTTAATTCAAGGGTCTCTGTCCTCAGAGTATTCTCAGACTTTACCAGCTAAATGACTTTTCCTTTTCCCCCAACAATGACTGAGAAAGTCTGAGAATACTTTGACAAAAAAGAAGGTCTTGCACCCTTGATAGAATGGAAAAGTAGGGACCTGGACATGAACTTAGGAAGGTAGAGGGTTCATTAAAGGACAAGTCACATATGGCATTTCTTTTCTTTCGCTCACTTGGTCAGTCTGAATTATGAGAAAGTATATACATAGTAATCATAATTGAAAATTTCAAAATAGATTTGGCTTGTATTTAATGGGCACAGGGAGGAAAATTTTGATGACTGCTGTTTAGTGAAGGGCGCTATATAAAATGGCTTAATGAATGATAAAGTAGATCATATGGTTAGCATTTTTAGCTTATATTTTTATCTTGTGTGAGCTGTTCCTGGATAATTTCAGTGACCCTTATATCACTAAGATGGCAGAATCTTAGTGCTATTGAATTTCCAATGTGGATAGAAATCTTAGACGACCTTACATGCTTTTACATTAAAGGTTAGATTTTTAAGGGTTGAAGACTAGACCCCTTCCACTTGTCTGTTTTTGGCTCTTAATAGGCATCATGCACAGATTTTAATCTATACTTTGGCTGTTTGCTGTTGTAAATGGATTCTTTGCATTGCAGCATGAAAAGCTTGCCATTGCCATCTTAATTGAAAGTAGATGTTTTTGCTAAAATATGCTGTTTATATGAATTGCTTAATTTTAATACAGAATTTTTAATTAAAATTTTTATAAAGAAATATAAAAAGAAAATGATTGTAGGGGCTTCTGCTTCTTAGGAAATAAGGTGCATGTGAAAGGATTTTTATCACTATAAAAATGGACTTTGCTAAACTGGCCATTCACCGTATCAGCTATTTTTGTAACATTTCTGTCTGTTTATTTTTCAGCTTTTTTAATCCAACTCAAATGAACTAAAAACAGAAGATATTTTAAAATGAAGTAATATAAAGATTGACCTTGTCTCACTCTACTCCCCTCCTTGCTTCTCTGCTCATCTAGCACCTGTCTGCTCTCACCCTTCCCATGTTCTCGCCATTGTTGGTGCAAGATTTCTACAGCTTCTGTCATCTGGATCAGCCTTGTTACCTAGGTTTCCTCAACCATCTCTTTCTTCAGATCTCATCCTAGTCATGTTTCTCAGTTGGCCTTTTATTTTGTTTGGCTTTTGTTTTGGGCTTGCAACTAGGTGCTTTAATTTTATTACCATACCATGTTGCTCACTAGCCTATTTATTTTTTTTACTTTCTACCATTTCATATTTAATTTTGTACTACATTTTGAGACGTAATATCACAATAAACTTAAATTGTTATGAATGGCTTTAGATTTACCTGGTTGTTTTAATCCATTCTAAACTTTAAATTTTATTTTCTAGGAACTATAGAATTCTTTTGGAAATCAAATATGGCAGTTTCATCAAGTTCTTTTATATTTGTGCTAGTTTAGTATATTGATTGCATTTCAGTTGAGGGGTGTTGGTTTTCTTTTTCTCTTTGAACGTTAGCCCCATAATCCTTGTGATGATTGACTGGGGCATGTCCTCTGCTTTTACCTACCCAAGTGAGCTCAAGACCAGTTGAAGGACTTATGGACTGAATATTAGGCTGGGTTAACATATTAATATAGAAGATCAATGGATTCTTTACTGAATAAATATTTTCTTACACATAATTTTTATGTACCTAGATTTTGGTTTGTCTGAGGTGTAATATAAAGACTTAAGAATGAATAAAAAGAGCTTTGCGTTTGGGATGACAATCTATGTTGGAATGTTGAATTTCTTCTTTTTTACAGAAAATACACATTGGCAAGTTGAGAGTTATCAACCTGTGAAACAGTATGCAGATTTGTGTCTTCTGTATCACATCTGCCAGAAGTTTAATTTTTAATATTGTTTTGTTTTCTTTTGCTTAATCTAATAGCTTTGTGTTTTGTGTTTCCCAAGTAAAACAGTGATCAATAATACTCAGTGTTTATCGGCATAAAATTTACGTGTGATACAGATAATGCCACTTCCCCTTCTAGTGGCTCTTAAAACCTGAATTTCTTACTCTTATCGACATTCTGTTACATGAAAATGCCTTTTTGTCATTTTGCTGGCTTGTGAGCTTTCTAACATGGTGTCTTTGGACCAAAGGGAATTCCTTTAAAGTACTAGAAGTGATTTTTCTAAGGGTGGGAAAAACATTTCTAGGATTGTGTGATTGGGATTTCAGTGGAAAGTTTTCAGATCTCTCATGAATGATGTTGACACAGCTATGTTATATTTTAGACCAGACATGTACTGATGACTTTATTGAGTTTTGCTGGTATAGATACTGCTATTTAGAATAAAATCAATTTGAAATATGAAAATTAAATTTATAAATGTAAACAAATCTTTCTACACAAACATTCAGTATTTTGCAAGTAGGTTTCTTTCGAGACATTTTTGCTCTGAGAATATATTATCTGATGATAAACATTAAGCTTTAGGTAGATTTCTCAATTAAAACATAGTTTTCAAACTCTCCTGCAGATAATTTGTTTTCTAGATTTGTTGGTAGAAAACAAATTTTTATTCTTCACATTTTTATGCTGCCACATATATAGCAATCAGAACGTTTTATAAAACCCTCCAGTAGAGGATTTTTCTAATCATTGACAGAAACAAGGTTTATTCATTTCATTTTTAATAATATACTTACAGTAACCAGGGTATTTTCATAGAAACCAGGAAAAATTAGTCATTTTTAATCTATTTTCATTGCATGTCTATGTATTGAGGGGGAAAGTCTAGAAATTTGCTATATTGGGCATGAAGACATGAGTTTAGCATACCCTTCTAATTCCAGATTACTTTGTGATCAACATTTGATTTCTAATTATCTAAAAATAGTATGTCAAATATGTTTTACTCATATAGCATTGTTCTTTAACTTTTCTAAACTTTCAATTTTGTTTTTTAAAATTGCTATACTTTCTTTAAAAAAAGCTGTGTGAAATCAAAGATAGCCTGCATGCGATTTATTTTTAATTCCTTGTGGCTGGAGGGCAGGGGAGGTCACAGTTTGCTTCAACAGTGAAAACGTACTGCATGCCAGAAAAGATCCAAGGATAAAAATTAATACCAAGGTTTTAAACTGATTACTCTATTAGTGTTTTTTTAATAATCCATATTTAAAATCAATAGGATGTACATGTAAAGTTATTTTTGTTTTTCTAGGTAGTTGGCAAAAAAGGAGAAAGCCACTAAAGTACAGAAGACACTGGACGACCATATTGCAATCAGATCTACAGCTCCTGGATAATCGCTTGATTCTCGCCAGAGACTGTCAATGTTTCATTAATTGCCAATACCAATAAATCATTGCTTTTGTTCAGATGGTATCACTAGTGTTTCCATTGTAATCTTGACACATACAATTGTAAATAAAAGTCACTACTTTTGCCAAGCTTAATTTTTGTCATTCTAAATCAGTATTTTCTCTTTCTATGTATTTGAAAATTGGTCAGCTTCTAATTTTAGAAGAGACTTAAGTGTCTGGTAGCATATTGATTGAAAGCCAGTTTCTTTAGAAAAGCAGAAACTGTTTTAGGGAATTAAGGAGTACATGTGCACACATTCATAGCAAGTGATTTTGATAAGTGGTCTTGGAGCAGCTAACTGTGTTCAAATGAGTACTAACTTGTATTTTTATTAAAGGACATTTGGATATCTGAGCTATAGAAATTACTCAAATTATAAATTAGAAGAAATAAACAGGTTTAATAAGATTTAACTACTCTTAACCTAAAACTTAGTTAATGGGTCCACAAATTCTTTCTTGGTATATACCAAGATTTTAATCTTTTCTGGTAAATTTAAAAATTTTAGTTAGCCTTATTTGTCTTACTAATAGAGGAATGTGGAAATCAGATGGTTTGGGAAAAAATACAGCACAATGAATTCAGAAAACAATAGGAATTGGCCAGGCGTGGTACCTCATGCCTGTAATCCCAGCACTTTGAGATGCCGAGGCAGATCAATCACTTGAGGTCAGGAGTTCGAGACCAGCCTGGCCAATATAGCAAAACATCGTCTCTACTAAAATTTCAAAAACTAGCTGGGCACTGCGGTGGGTGCCTATAATCCCACCTATTTGGGAGGCTGAGGCAGGAGAATCAGTTGAACCCAGGAGGCAGAGGTTGCAGTGAACCGAGATTGCGCCATTGTCCTCCAGCCTGGGCAACAAGAGCGAATCTCTGTCTCAAAAAATGAAACGAATAGGAGTTATTATCTTTAATCAAGTATTATCTGAACTCCCAAAATGTACAGTGTATATATATAGAGAATATGATTTAAGGTTGAAAATGAGGTGGCCAAATACAAATGTTTAAAATGTCTTTCACAAAAGGCTGGTAAAATATTCTTTTTTATCTTAGAATTGTAATCTAAGAAGTGTTGGTAGATTTAATTTTAAAATATCTGAGTATTTTTAAAACTTTTTAAAGAGTGCATAAGACTGTAAAATTGTGATTCAGTTAATACATTTGAGGGCATTCTCGTCTAGGCATGTGGTAGAGATACCATTTGCCTTTGTGAGAGCAGTGTATTTATACATGTTTATGAAAATAATTTTACAGAAGTTTTAGTGTTGAAATAGTCCCTTTCTGAAACCTAAGTGTCATTAGATAGTTTAGTTCATTTGTATATGGGCACTTTAACTGGCCTGTGATGATGTCTGTGTCTTAACACTGCTTACACAGACCATCTCAGATTAATCACATCTGAAATTAAGGATACAATTAATATGCAGGGTTTTGCTTTACAGTTTTGTACACTTAACCTTTTTGAGTAACTGTTAAAGTGCCTCATCCTAAGTATTGCTGACCTTGTCCTATTTATACTTGACAGTTTGAAAACCCAGTGAAAGAATTTCGTATTTGTAAAGGATTGGACATCAGATTTATATTGTTTATGTTATTTTTCTATAACAATTGGTTGCAGTATACAAGCATTCCATAATTCAAATTGTAAATATTTAGTGAAAAATGAATGTTTATAGGTAACTATAACATGTTTCACTTGTGGGACGCTTTACAAATAAATATGCATAATTGGGATTATTTAAAATATCAAGCCGAAATGCTAATGTTTTCTCCTAAAACAGTATATATCATATATATACATACATATATGTATCTATATATATAACATTTACATATATCACTGAGTTTTCCAGATGAATAAGAGCATTTGAAAAAAATGTAACTCTTGTAATTTTAACTGAAGTCATTTATTAGATAGTGCGGTTTCTTGTTTTGTCAGATATAGTAAAGAATCTCATGCTTTGTGTATTTTGTTACATTTGACATCAGGTGTTTATGATGAGAAACAAGTGAAATACCCTGTTCATAATAGAAACAAAGTATTGCAGTAGGAAGTCTTTGTCAGCTTAATGCTGAAGCCAAGAGTAGCACATTCTTGTGCTCATGGCAGACTTTTATAATCCTTCTGAGTTTTCTTTGACATCAAGCCCCACATTGTTCCCCAATCTCAATATTGCGTTGGAGGCAGCCACATAAAAATTAGAGTTGAAACCTGCCTGCTCTCCTTTGTCTCACTGTTGGAGGATATATGCAGTGTTTTTGGAACTGATTATAGATAGGACTGCTATTGTATATTTGGCCTCAGCATTTTATGACTGCAATTAATATCCCTGATCATGGACTTTTTAACCTAAAATAGTTCAGATCTTCCCTTGTTCCTCTTAATGTCTAAAAGCTTTAATTCTGTAATAAGAATAAAGTTTTGAAATTGAAGTTGATTAAATTAGTTACACCCTTTCCTTTGTAAGCTTTAAAAACATGAAACAAATAAGGCTTACTCATATTGCTTGTATTGATATTTATATAGTTCAATTTAGTATGTTAATTTTTGTGTTAGGTATATCTCTTCTGGGATTTTTCATTTGTAATCTTAGACGATTTTTTAAAGATAAGTAAGAGTAAGAAATCTGGCCCGGAATAGTGGCTCACACCTGTAATCCCAACATTTTAGGAGGCCATGGTGGGTGGATCACCTGAGGTCAGGAGCTGGAGACCAGCTTGGCCAACATGGAGAAACCCTGTCTTACTAAAAATACAAAAAGTTTGGCCAGGCATAGTGGCAAGTGCCACATCCAACTGCTTGGGAGCCTGAGGCAGGAGAATCGCTTGAACCTGGGAGTTGGAAGTTGCAGTGAGCCAAGATTGCACCACTGCACACAGGCCTAGTGGCAGAATGAGACTTCATCTCAAAAAAAAATCCATTCACAGAACTGCTAAAGAAAAACTTTAAAGGAGTACTGTGCTCATTTAGCTTTAAAACTCACTGTTAGAGGTGTGTATTTTACAGGGTTTTCCAAACATAGATTGTGTATGCTTTATAATATACATAAAGCAAGTATACATACATAACATCCATATAGTAAATAAATTTTAAAATATTGTCTATTCCCCGGTTAAGCCTATATTTCTTAAGACTATTGATGTCATTTTAAGCATGTTTTAAAATTCAAGTTTTATTTTTAGATCTAAGGTTTTTTTACATGCTCAGCACTATAGGACTAAGGACAAGTGGAGATTTGTAGGCTAATAAGATTGCTTTTAAACTTTGTGGCCCATGTACAATTGTTAGCTAGAGAATGTATAATTAGGTAACTATAAGATAAAGAGATAACCTTTATAATTTGAATGTACTAAAATTGTACACAGCTTGGAATTAAAATCTTAATCTTAAGGATATGCAATGTTAAAACTGCTAGAGTATTTTTCCTTTGTGCTTGCTCTGCTTCTCTATGGGAAGAAGAATTTTATTTTGGAATTAATTCTAACTTGAGCAGACCAGAACTGTGAAAACATGATCTGTTGTTTTATACTTGGGTATGCATTTGGAAACATTGGCTTATCATACTACCTAGGGGCAAGATCTCTGAAGTTTGAATCCCTGCTCCCCACTTGTTAGCTGTGTTATCTTGAGCAAGTAACATCCTTCAGAGCTCGAATTTCTGGTATAAAAATAGGAACATCTATCTCTTAGACTTGTTCTGAAGATGTGCCTTACTTTGGAACAAGGATAAGTATCTTCTGTATCCTGCTCTCATCTGTCACCGCTTTTTAGGCCATCATTACTTGCTTGACGTACTGCAGTAGCCTCCTAATTGTCTCTTCTTCTGGTCTGACTTCTGTCATGTATCCTCCACATGGCTTCTGGTTATCTTTTCTTAATGGGGTCTTCGTAATGTAATCTCTACTCCATGCCCCTCATTTCTTCGATGTGCTGCACTGTATTACCAGGTACCAGAACGTACCTTCATATCGTATGCCTTCCTCTGACCTAACTTTTCCATCTGACACATTTCTGCTTATCTACAAGGCTCAGTCCAAGCAAAATTGATACAGGGAATAGTCATAACAATTGTGCATGCCTCCTCAGCTGCCATAGCACCCTGCCATTATTTCATCCGGATATGTATCAAGCTACTCGTAATTATTTGTAGTCTGATTTGGCCTACTAGATTGTGAACTGTAATACAAGGATTTTGTCTCTAGTATGAAGCCACTTTCTTTGGTTTGTATCATTAAATACATTGTTGAACAAATTATCAGGGTCCAAGAGGAGATTCTTGGGGTGAGTCGGAGATTAAGTAGGAATTTATAGTTGAGAAAGGTACGGAAGATAATTTAGCTGAAATAAAGGAAAAGTGCATACTGCATTCACAGAGTGGGAGTTAAATGTAAGAGACATTTTAGGGAAGTGAGGAAGGAGATGTAGCTGGAACAGCAAGAAGAGACCATAACGTGAAGCTTCTCTTGCCATGTGAAAGAGATCAAACTTTATCCTGAACTTATGGGAGGAGCGAGCATAGAGAAGTCTGTGATGTTTCACAGGTTTCTCACTTTTACAGTTGCATATAGAAGTGACTCTTAGGAGAAGCAGAAAGTTTGGAGGGGAAGATGAATATGGTTTTGGATACGTTCCCTTAAAATTCATTTTTGTTATTTGGGTGGCAATGTCTAGTAGGTAAAAAGCCAGGAATGTGATTTTAGAGCTAGAAACGGAGCTAGAAGCTGTTTAGATGATGAAAACTGAAATAGGTGTATGAATAGGTACTTTTAGAGAGACTATAAAGGGAGAGAATGAAACTAAGGAGCAAATGTTAGAGAATACTAAGAAATATTAAAGAATTGGCAGAAGAGGAGCCTGGAAGGTAGAGTAGTAAACAGGACAGGGAGGAAAAACAGGAGGTGGTGATAAAGTAGTGTTCATGTATCCAAGAGGGAGCATGATATTGAAATTAACTGGGATGTCCAGTTGTTAATCCATTAAATTGTGGAAACAGTCTTTCTAGTGCTTATTATGAGAATCATTGATTATATTAATAAAATTTCAGTTGAAAGAAGCATCAGCAGACAGAATTATTCTGAAACCCTTCTG